TGGATATGAAAACATTAACAAGATTTAGGGGCTGTAAATCCAGTTAAAGAAGTATTGTAAAAGAGCACGGTTTATAAACGCGTTTTGACGGATTAGGGCCATTTAATGATGACTTGACAGAAGTCTTACACTTTGCTAAGCTACCTGCATAAAATTTTTCTTAATTTGAAAATAACATCATTGTTGATATAAAGTGACAAGCAACATCTGGAATCCAGTTGTTTATCTTATTTGCATAGACAGACCTTTGTTGTTTTATAGTGTCATAAAATAATGATAAATTATTGGATAGGTACATTCAATTTAAGGCAGTGATGAAGCTGGGGTGAGATAGTTAACACTCATTCTCAAATCCAGACAAATCTTGGTTGTCAGCCTCTGGAAAAGTCTGGTTAACTAAAGTGGCTCTCTTACTAACAAAGTTTGGACACCCCTGCTCTAACCCTAAATCTGACTAACCATAGTTACCAGGGATATTTTTCAGCTGCCCTCCACTACAATGTTTAAGTATAAGCTCTTTGGGAGTGTTGTGATGTCACATGAACACGACCTATTGTGGCCATTGAAATTGTTTATTCTATAGCGATGAATCATGCACAGCCCACATTTCTGATAGGCAGGTCTTGTGGACATGTGAGATTGAATGCTGATTGCAGGTCTGGCTGTCTCTACTCCAAGCGTACAAATTCACAAATGTTCCAAAGGCAGATATCCAGGGAGATTATTTAACTTTTAAATAGTTCAGAGGGGAATGTGCAAAAGTTGTCTAAGTCAGCTTTAGAGGAGACGAGAGAGAAAGTTTCGCGGGGAGAGGAAAGAATGTGACTTTTGGAACAGCAGGTGGCAGTTTCCTGGAAAAGCTCTGGCTGTCAGCGATACCAGAGCGTACAGAAGGAATGTAAGGGCCCGTGTTGTTCTGCACTTACGTTATGTGCCCGTTGAGTGCGGGCGATGTGCTGGGACAGATGGATACCGACGGCTCATTGGCAGCTTGAATTAGTACTGCAATATCGGAGATTTAAAGCTGCACTAACTGACTTTGGGATTTCGAAGCAGCGGTTTCGCTGGCCTCGCTCTTTCTCCTCCCCTCCCTGCACCCACGAAGCTATCGCCCCCCACTACCGCACACCCTCTGTTGTTTACGGAGCTAGCGTCTCCCAATATGGATAGAATCATGTATCGTACATTTGAGCGTGGATGGCGTGACCATAGAATGATAGAACCGGGAAGCGCAGAGGAACTAGACTTTCTTTTGGATGGCTGTCTCGCTGTGTAAGCAGTAATCGGTGACGAAGACAAAGAAGCTTCAGGTTAGCTCCGCCACTTCTTGTGCTAACTCAGCCGTCTGTGCTAAGAGGGACCTGTAGATTCAAGAAAGTGGAGGCCAGTGGTCCGCTGTGATTGGTCACAATCTGGTCCCGAAAAACATTCTCTTCCGTGTTTCATCAAAACTTGATAATGTCACGGCAGCACAAATCTGCGCTACTTTTTCTTCAAAAGGACGTAAGGATAGCATTTTCGTAATGAATACAAAAATAAAGTCAGTTAGTGCAGCTTTAATATTCAAAATGATACAAAAACCTGCACGTTGATGATGTAAACCACAGGAGTTTTAAAGAGTTTGTATTGCGACGTGGACTGCAGATCTGAGAGCAGTTACCATAGCAAAAAGGACAAAACCCCCATTTCCATAATCGTTATGTAATGAAATGAGTGTCAACACCTCAATAATGTTTTAATGTGTCAGCTGTACTGCTGGTCTATAAAATCAACGAGGAATGATTTCACAAGTACACCTGTCACGCTGCATAAACATAACATTGAGTGACCTGTCTTTGCGACCAGGCATGGAACTGTCAATGATCTTGCCAATTAAACCTTTCTTGAATTACTTTTATTGATTCCAATGGACTAAAATAATATAAATTTTCTTAGGGCCGGGAAGCAGAAAAAAAAAATCTTTGTGATAATTGATTGCATTTTAATTGCATGAAGTGTAGTAATAGCATATTTAGAAATATAATTTATAAATTATAGCGTTTACCACGCTAAGTGGTCAAGTGGTCGACTGACGAGTGCGATCCAGTGAGCCATGCAGCAGTCATCTGTGAGTGTGGCAAAGGTGCAGGTCTTTGTACTCAGGCTAACGTCCACGCTAGCTGCTCTATGTTCAAAATAACGGCTTTCAAGGCAACATAAGTGAGGAAAGATTCTAGAAAAAGTGTGCAGGTGTTGCAGCTTTGAAATGAGTACAAGTGCCTGTTCCCTACTTAAATATGCTAACAGTTGAACAGCCGTGAGCAGTGTTTGTGCCATTTGAGTCTCAATATGATGCATAAGCCCACGTGAGGATAGGAAATAGGGTGAATAATGGAACCGTATAAGACTTGATTTGGGGAAATGAATTTTAAACAGTAAGCATGAGTGAAACTGCAGCTGAACAATGTTATAAATCTATGTAAGAGCAATTTCTATGACAGATAGATTTGTGTTTTATGTTTAAATACATTGCCTATTCATAGTAAATTAACAAATCTTAACATTACTGTTATGTTGAGTGTAATCCAGTGTTCCCCAACCTTTCTTAGCCGTGGGACAGCGTTTTCATCACATGCCACCAACAGCTGAAACCGCTACAAACATTGAACTCTCCAGCCTTTAGTCCATCCATCCATTTTCTACCCTTTAATTCATTTCTGGGTCAGGGGGGTGGCAATCAGAGATGCCACCCAAGTCTCATAGCACCAGCCCCTCACTGACCCTCTGCAGGTGGTGAGTCCACAGGAGGACGGCTGCTCTCTGAGTGTGAGCCTTGATCTTTCAGTGGGGGCTTTGGACAAAGTGGGGTTAAGTGTCTTGCCCAAGGCACAACGACAGCAGTCATCAGTGGGAGTCGGTGGAGAAGGTGCAGAGGTGGGAATTGAACCCACGACCTTCTGGGCTTAAGGCCAATGCTCTACCATTGGCCTTAAAGTCTTTCTCATCAAAGCGTTACAGCTGTTCAGTGACACCTCAGAGGTTTGCCACTAAAAAGCATCTTGAAATCCAATAAACACACCAGGGGTGAGGAGGTGGGGACGATTTTAAAGCATTGTTAAGATTGTATGGCAAGAATTTAGCACCACTGAAAACCTTTCAAGACCACCTAAACTAACAGGCAGAGTGCAGCGTTGATCAGAGATGCGCTCAAGAGGCCTATGGTAACTTGTAGGAACTGTAGACATCCACATAGGGCAACTATTACTCATGCACGGCACTATCTAAGTGGTAAAAGAATTTCTGATTAGAAAAAACACAGAAAGAAGTCAAGCAAGGCCACATCCAACATGTGGAAGAAAGTTTTGTGGTCAAAGGAGGTAAACATTTTAAGTTTTGGTCTAAATAGAGAGGGACATATGTGGTGGAGAACAAACACTGCTCATCTCTCTACTCACACCATGACTGTTGCCAAACTCAAAACTGGTGGTGGGATCTTGCTGTGAAGCTGTGAGAGTTGATGTAATATAAAGTAATCTTGGAAGAAAAGCTGTTGTTGTGAACCTGAAAAAGACTCAAGCTAAAGACTTGAGACAGGGGCAGGGGCGGGGCTTTACTTCCATCAAGTCAATCGCACTAGGGTTGCAAGTTTAATTTAGAAGAATGTCAAGAAAAAAGACTGAAATTGATTGCAAAGGACTTTAAAAGAATGGTTTTCATGATTTCTTCTTCGTCAGTGGTTTCAAACATTCGAAAAGGTCTTTTGTGGCCCCCTAGTGGACATCAAACTTTAATGTTGATGCAGCCCCCAAGTCTGTGCAAATATGGCATGTTATACATCTTTTTTTCAATATAATTACTTATATTTGACCATAAAAATTGAACCCTGAATGCAATAATTCAAAGTAAACATTATTAAACTCAGTCTACAATACAAAGCCTCATTTCCGTACAGTTTTGTTTCAATCCAAGCAGCTGGACTCAATTTGTTCATAGAAAATTATATCAAACTCATATTCAATAAAAGTTATTATTTGGGCAAAATACCTTCATGATTGTAAAAAGTCACAAATACATACGGGGCGACAGTGGCTCAGTTGGTAGAGCATTGGCCTTTGGGCCTGAAGGTTGTGGGTTCAAGCCCACCATGAGACCTACTTCACAACTCCCACTGATGACTGCTGTCGTGTCCTTGGGCAAGACACTTAACCCCACTTTGCCTGAAGCCCCCGCTGAAAGATCTCGGCTCCTGTGGACTCACCACCTGCAGGAGGATCAGTGAGGGGCTGGTGCTCTGTGTAATGGGTAGCATCTCTGACTGCCACCCCCCCGACCCAGAAATGGATTAAGGGGAAGAAGATGGATGGATGGCTGGACAAATACATACAATGAGCGATTAAACTTTCCACAAACGCTTGATATGGTTTTATGTGTGTTTGTCTCTGAAGAGTCTAAACGTTTACTTTCTCTATTGTTAAAGAATGAACAGAGAATCCCTGTGTGTGGATAAATCCATTTGCTCCGATGTTTATATATATTTGCACACACACAAACACGTGATAAACATACCCCTGAATGTGGCCCTGCTCCTTCACCTAGACTGGATCTCATGAAGTGAGTTTGAGACCCCGAAAAATATATGATGATGGGGGTGACGGTAGAGATGATGATCATAGTGATAACAATATTTGTTGTTGTTTTTGTTGTTATTATTTCATTGTTTTATTATCATCCATTCATCCATTTTCTTCCACTTAGTCAGTTGCCGGGTCGCGGTGGCAGTACTTTTATCATTGTTGTTATTTTCACTGTTATTATTGATAATAGTCATGATAATTAGAATAATAATAATAATAATTAACTAATATGGTAATAATTAATGTTTCTTCATCCTACTCCTGCTCTTTTTTCATGGAATGTATTACTGTAGAACTTGCTGGATTTTTGAGGTATTTTGTTGCATTACCTTAAAAAAAAATTGAGCAAAAAATATAGACCAAAGGCTAAATGGAGCCAGTCCTTACCCGTCCCTGTAGTTGATGACCGTATCGATGATGGTGTTCATTTGCTTGGTCAGTTTCGGAGGATTTGGGGAGAACTTCTCCGCTGGTGGACGGCCGCGTCTTTTCTTGGCCTTTGCGCTGGACTCTTCTCTGTCCTCTCGGTCTTTGTCCGGGCGTCTTTTACGTTTGCGTTTCTTCAGCCTGATCTCCTCCTCCATCTCCTCCAGGTTCCCGTCCTCAATGGCCTGACGACACAAGAAACTTTGGTTAAAGCACATATATTAGCTGTTATTTGCGTTTATTACACGTTGATCCTGAGCCGTTTTCTTTGTCTCTTCATGTTGTAGAACTTGAAATAATGTCTAGGTGAAGGTGAAGGTTTTCTATAAAGCAGCATATATTACCATCATCTACTGAAATTACAAGCTTGGGCTGGGAGCCGCTAAAGTCAGCTACGAGGTCAGCTTGACAGAAAGGCAGACTCCAAGAACCAAGTACAACTCACCAATCAGTGAACAGAGGTGAAGCCATGTCGCCAAACTCGTGTCTGTTTGTCCTTCAGCCATATACAATGCGAGATGGATGCTTCAATACCATATGGGCCGCATCTACCATAGTCTGTGTTCGCTTCTATGCTGTTTTTCTGCTATTGTCAGCTACTTAAAGTGTTAGCATCTAGGGTTTCCCTAGTTCTCCTCCAAGGTTTCTCACTTTTTCCCACTGGGTTTTTTTAAGAGTTTTTCCTTGTCGATGCAGGAGGGTCTTGTTGGACAGTTAGTGTCCAACAGAAAGGATTGGTGATGATCAGGACACTTTTAGCATTCTACAACATGTATGGACATTTTCTTCTGTGTGTGCTTTATATTCTCCATGTGTTAACTGTTGATTCTCTGACCTGTGTTGGTGATTTCAATGGTTTTGTTAAGTCCTCTGAGATGACTTCTGTTGTGACCTAGGGCTATACAAGAATAAATTGTATTGTATTGTATTGTATTGTATTGTATTAGCATCTGGTCAACTCTGATAACATGTTTTTTTGTTTTTGGCATTGAGCCTAAAATTATGGATCAATACCAAATTATTATAGTATAGTAATTATCCAGAATGCTTTATGTTACTTTCTAAAACCCATCTTTTAGAATGTGAAAAGTAGATGGAGCCGAGAGATGGAATGAAGCAGCGTAATGTAAGCTCCTGGGGATTTGAGTCTATAGAGCAAATATAAACCCAGCCGAGGTGTTGACGTCAACTCAATTTAGCAGAAGAGAAAGTATTCTGGGTCCACACTCTTGAGGATGCTAAAAGGCCCTTTATGTGACCAGAGATATCACACAAGCGGAGGGCCCAGAGTAAATTGTGATAGATCTATAAGTATGTGACCACTAATTTAGATGATGACTAATTAATATTCCTAAGGCGCTAAAGTTCAAAAGACCCATAGAACAGCAAGCTATGAACATGATAATTATACGAATATAGGCTATTTTCAAATCAGGACACTTAATATATGCACTTGAATAGGTGCAATCATATATACACTTGAATATATTTTCATTGTCTTTATGTTTAGTTTATCCTTTTTTAGAACTAATACTCTTATTTTAGCCTGGCCCAATCATCATTTCACTGCATGTAAAATGTCTGGGTCTGGTCCCTGTGTTAGCGATTACAAACGGTTGAATTTCGACCGACCATTCAGAGAGCGTGGAAGGCGGGTGTTGTATTTAGTTGTGGGTGATGTCAAGAGTTTGCGTCGATCAGGCAAGTTGTAGTTTGGTAATGGCAAAAAATTCGATAGTAAAGTAATCCGGTCTGGTTCTATCAAGAAATTTAAGCCGGAGCAAGAGGAATGTTAGGCAAATGTAATCGCTGAAAAAATTATGGCGCTACTCTCCACGGGCTCCGTTAGCGGCAAAGGAGGCTCGGCCAAATGCTAAATGCGAACAACAGACTCGGGTGCATTACATACGTCACGGTAAACTCAGATCCAATCGTTTCAATCTGCAAAAGGAGTAAACCCCTCCCACCTGTTAATGGAACTCAATGGAGCACATCCAGACCTTAGTACGAAATGTCATTTGTACTATGGTGTGGTACGAGAAGGACTGGGCGATATGGCTGAAAACACAATATAAGTCGATAACGATATATATTGATTGTTTCTTATTTATTTTTTAAAACATAAATAAATACATTTGTCGTGTGGGCTAACACATGTTAGCAGCCTTGTTTACAGTCACGGGGCAATGAGGCAGGAGGCAAATGTTCACAAGCAGTCTCGCCCATAGTTAGTCCTGGTTAAATCCTGGTTTAGCTCCTGTCTTGGCTGTTTGAGTGTCTTGTGTCCCTGTGACGGTTCCGGAAAGTTAATCTCTTGCTTTTGCCGAATGCATTGAGTCTCTGCCTCTCCCGCCGCACATGCTGTTCCTCGCACGGACGTGCACACGGCATTGAACATGATCTTTAGATCCATGGCTATTATAATAGATCCATGATCCATGGACGCTACGCATGGTGCGCTTGTTGTTTTTGCATTTCCCAGAAAGTTTTGCAGTTTGTAGTCGGCTGTGATAGGTCGAGAAGTCTCTGCCTACATACCCAGAATGCCGCGCGTTTCTGACTAGGCTTTACTTCCTGTGTTTTCTTCCTGTTTTTTTCGAACGGAGTGAAGTTAAACCATTGAATTTTCTATCGACCCCGCTTTCTATTGATATTGAACACGTGTCTATCGCAATATATATTGTTATCGTTTTATCGCCCAGCCCTAGGTACGACCAGGCTACCCTTATTTCAACAAGAAATGGAAATGTAATATTCAATTAAATTTATCTTTGTATAGCCCTAAATCAAAACAGCAGGATGACTTTACAGAATCAAATGGTTCAATCAAACACTGTAAATGCAATAATACACAAACCCATAGGAGCCATTAGTCCATAAGGAGCGGATGGCCCATGTTCATAAATGTTAACACATATCCAGTTGTATGTCTGTGCAAAAACCAAAATCAAAATGGTCTTTTATGATTGTTCAGACCGAACCAAGCGTCGCACCAGGTTTGGGCAGCCGCAGCGCCTACAGGGCCTCGAGCATTTAAACATAGATAGTTGTAATCCTCAAGATCAGGTTTAAATCCACTCAAGCAACAGAATATTCAATCTTTAAATGATTTCAATCTTTGTGATCTGCTATAGTGATAGGGCTAAGATCGCTTAAATCTCAAAAAATACAAAAATTAAATAAACCACTTTTAACCTGCTTTATGTTTTAAAATGTGGCTCTCGACCATAATGAGTTTGACACCCCTGGTCGAGAAGAGTCTCTGGGCTAAACTGCAGGGAACACCTTTAATTGGAGCTTCCTTGGATCACACTGGCACCTCGGTCTCAAAACATCTCCTGTCCTATTTCCCATCTCTAACAACACCTGAACCACACTCAATTACTGTAAGTGCGCAAGCTGCGACACAAGGGTTTTCTCCAGGGGCTGGTGTCACTTTGGATATAAACTGGGAGAAACGTTGCTGTGATAACTCGTCCCAGTCGATATCATACATATGGAGTGGACTGTTTTATATCAATACAGAAAAAATCCGCGCTGGTGTGCTGCCGTACTTTTTATCCCTTGCCCTACTTATGTACTTGGTTCTTGTTGATGTTTTTGAAATGGTGAACCAAAGTTGTTTAATAGAGTTGTTTATACTTCCTCGTCCTGATACTGTGCCCCACGGACTCATGGGTGAATATATTAGCACGCATCCGTTCGAGATCAGGCACTTTCGGTTTGTTAACTTTGCTCCCTGAATAAATATATATTAAGAAATAGATATACAGATATACTGAAGAAATAAACAAACTAAAATGCTGAATTTAAATTAGAACTCTGCATTGATATAATTGACATGAATCGCTGAATGTATTATTTGAAGTTTCTCCATGAAAGTTATAAAGTTACTACAGTAAGACATAACACTTGAGTGAGCCGTGTTACACATAGTGACATGAATGGAGTAACAGTAGAGGACAGAGTAACAAATTGGATTACTTGTTACTCTCACTTCTCAACAACAATGTCCTGGGTTTGAATCATAAACTATATACCAAAAAAAGTAAAAAAATATTAATTTGAACACATTGTGACTGCTTCAAGACAAGATTTGCCAATGAGACAAGGAAAATTATCTTGTTTTAAATTGATAAAAGAAAAGTCTCCCTTGTAATGAGGACTTTACAAAGTTGTCGTTTAGCCAACAACAGCTTGTAATGTCTTTGTAATCCCATTTTCCCTGTACTTGAACATCACCCGGCCTCATTTTCCCACTTTCCCTCATCCTCGTAAGCGCACACACCCTACAATGTTTGCTTCAGTGCGACATGTAAACGGTGCAAACTTTACCCGTAGCCACTGCTTCTCGGTCAGAGCGTCGCTGTAGTCCACGTCCCGGCGGGAGCGAGATCCGCGGCCGAAGATCTTGTCTTCCTCGTCTTCGTACGTGAGGCGCTCCACCTCCGCGTCGTCCTTGATGATCCAAGACGGCAACTCGTCCTCCTCCATCAGGCGCGGCTTACGCTTCGGGTTCCGGGAGTCTTCTCTGCGTCGATCCATGTCCATGCGCTGGAACATGAACGTTTCATTAGATTTTCTACTTTAAAGTTGTGGTGCTTTGAAACAACAACAAATAATCTATGTAATATAATCCATGTAGCTACAGTTCCTCAGGTTTATCACTAGAGTGGATTATCCTCTGCGTCACATCTGCAGATCAGCTTTTTCAATAGAGGACCACACTCGTAAGTAAGTAGGAAAGTAAGTAAGTAATGTTTATCAATTGGTCCAATTTGTTCACAACATTTTATTTTTCTGTTGGGACAAACAATATATATTACACAAAGAGGAATGGATCTTTAATAGTATCTGAATAGGGTATTACTAGCTTACAGCTGTCCCACCAAAAGGCACAGGGACTGCAGACTAAATTCAGGAGGGCTACCCAGAAAAATGTCTCATAGAACTCAACGTACACTAAAACAACTCCCAAAATACATTTCAAACATTGGGTTTTAGGGTCATGATAAAAATAGTAAAAAATATATATATATATTTAACACAAATTAGGGCTAAAATACTTCTATTGTGGAGATGTGAAACCACCAAAATGATTTCAATGACTACTGGAAGAGTGTACACTTGTTTTATGGTCTTTTATGGCAGTGACTCTAAACGCATCCTATAAACTCCCTGGGACCAGATGGAACAAAATACATGCTCTATTATTTTTAGGTGGGTATGAGTCCTTATCATACACCTTATTTTTTATAATAGGCCGGATAAGTGATTTTGTGCATAAATGCAGGAGGAAAAGGACTAGTTTAAGTGAAATAGTTAAATAGTGATAATTTACATGGAGTTCCTTGCATGTTCTGAAATTCTAAATGTTCTTAGGGAGCAGAAATCAGACATCTGGTACATGAAACATAGAAATGGTCCCAGTCGTACATGTCTGGCACACAGTTAGATTTACAGCCTGGCTCAAGTGGCATTATATTCAGTTCAGAGACTAATATGGATGAATGTTCATGAAGAGGTTTGGAAAGACGAGTGCTTACCATAAAGAGCTCAAACTCATCCTCATTGCGGGCGATCATCTGGTTAAGAGTTTCGTCATCGGGCACCTCGTCCTCCTCCTACAACATTACATCAAACTATGAGAAAAGCAAGCAACAGGCTCCAGTGACTTTTATTTGCTTTCATCTCCTTTTTTAAACTCACAAATCAAACCCCAAGATTTTTATGCTGCTCTGTTTTAACATGAAATGATTGCATTTTCCGTGTACTTTTTATACCTTGTTAATTGCCTTGTGCATGGATTGTGGAATACAAATAAATGATTGATTGACTGATTTATTGATTGATGGATTGAATCAACAATAAACAGCGCTCACCAGTTGTGCTTACTAGTTGTGTTTACCAGTTGTGCTTACCAAAAGTGGCCCACTAGGCAGCTCATATTCCACGGCTGCTCCAAGCCAGCGAACCGGAATTCTTACCCATTTAAAGAATAAGTTTAAGTTTAGAGAATAAGTTAAGATTATTTTGGCCCCAAGATCTCTAATCATTCGCTTCAATCATTCAGATAAAACTGCAAGACATAGAGTGCGAAGAGGACACCTACGCAGACACGGGGAGAACATGCAAACTCCACTCAGAAATGCCATGTTCCAACCGGGATTCGAACCCAGAACCCATTCTAGCTAGAGTGCTATCCACTACATTTAGTTCTCAAGTTGAAAACCACAATACTCGATAATCTAATCTAAAACAATAATGAGCGATGTGTGGGATTATTTATCAAAAACCATGTTATTATGCTTTTTGATTAAATTATAAGAAAAGTAGAATCTCTTTACTCAGAAATACAAGCAATTTTTCTGTTATTTTTGCTTCAAAAGCATCTTGAGAGTATCGTTTTTCAGAGGTGAAAAGGCCTCGTATTGATTTCTTCGAACAGGACACTGAAGTCCACGAAGATCCTAGACCTCATTAAATGTTAAAAGTCTATTGTGTGTATTTATGTATTAGAATTGTATGAAAATTTTATACCCTGCCTGTATATAACGGAAATGTGGGGGACTGCTCGGTCAGCACCTCGTTTTGCTCCTCGTGCTCTAGAATGGCCTGGAGGAAGACGCGGCGCTCGTGGCTGGACGACTTCTGGTCGAACATGCCGGCCTGGATGACCTTCTGGTCCACGTTCAGCTTGTACTTTGCAGCTGCCAGGATTTTCTCTTCCACGCTGTTCACAGAGCAGAGCCGCAGCACGCGCACCTCGTTCTGCTGACCGATGCGGTGAGCGCGGTCCTGCGCCTGGAGGTCCTGCGGGCGGCAGAGAAAACAACTATGAGGAGAGAAACAGCAGACAGAGACTAAACTGTGGTTTCAGTAGGATTCAGTTCAATTCAATTCAAGCACATGTGTTCTTGTATAGCCCTAAATTTGTAAAGTTCTCCATTGTGAGGACTTTACGCAGATCAGAGAATCAAACCGTTCAAACACAAGATATAAAACAGAAATCAAGTAGTATTGGTCCAAAAGGGAAAGATGACCAATGTCCATAAATGTCTTTGAATGTTGAGTGTCCTGGATCATCACCACTGCCCTTTTAGTTAGACCCCGCAAGACTAACAGACCCTCCTGCATCGGCAAGGAACAACTCTGAACCCAGTGGGATTGAGATTATTGATTTAAAGAAGAAATAGTATGCATTATTGTTGGTAAGTAAGTAATTAATAATGAGACGGTTTACATTATTGTGACAGTAGCTCAGTTGGCAGAGCATTGGCCTTTGGGCCTGAAGGTCGTGGGTTTGAATCTACGATGGGACTTTCTCCAACTGCTCCCACTAATGTCTGCTGTCATTGTGTCCCCAAATTGCCTGAAACTCCCGCTGAAACACCAAGGCTGTGGCACCGCTGATGTAGCAGCCATCTTCCTGTGGACCCTACACCTGCAGAGGATCAACGAGGGATTGGTGCTATGAGCATTGTTGCCACCCCCCGACCCAGAAATGGACTAATAAAGGAGCAGAAAATTAATGAATGAATGAATGAATGTTTTCCACCTTCACTACCACCAGAGGGAGGAGTTAAATCGGTTTGGTTTTTTTCCTAATTCGACCGGCTGCAAACGTAAATGTTGTCACCACTTCTAGACAAAATAATTAGAGCCTAGTTGAGATGTACTGATAAAGAAGATGTGGAACTTTGCGAGCTGTAAACTGGATGGACAGGTATAATAATGATCAGGAATAATAAGCTATAAATTAGCTATAAAACTTGATCACCATAGATACCCGGAACATTTTTTCAGCTGCTCTTCATCACAATTCTAAACTACAGGCACATGAATGCAACCTAATTATCACACAATAATCTTTGTGTTTGAATGTCTTTGAGCGTACTATTACTACTACTACTACTACTACCAGTGTTATTGCTGGTAGTAGTAGTAGTAGTAGTAGTAGAAGTGGAAGTAGTAGAAGTGGTAGAAGTGGTAGTAGCAGCAGTATTAGTAGCAGCAGCAGTAGTAGTAGCAGCAGAAGCAGCAGCAGTAGTAGTAGCAGTAGTAGTAGCAGCAGTAGCGGTAGCAGTAGAAATAGTAGCAGTAGCAACAGTAGCAGTAGCAGTAGTAGTAGCAGCAGTAGTAGTAGCAGCAGAAGTAGTAGCAGTAGCAGCAGTACTAGTAGTAGTAGCAGTAGCAGCAGCAGTAGTAGTAGCAGTAGCAGTAGCAGTAGCAGCAGCAGTAGTAGCAGCCGTAGTAGTAGCAGTAGTATTAGCTGTAGCAGCAGTAGCAGCCGTAGTAGTAGCAGTAGCATTAGCAGTAGCATTAGCAGTAGCAGCAGTAGTAGTAGTAGTGGTAGTGATAGTAGTAGCGGCAGTAGCAGTAGCAGTAGCAGTAGCAGCAGTAGTAGTAGCAGTAGCATTAGCAGTAGTAGTAGTAGTAATCGTAGTAGCAGCAGCAGCAGTAGCAGTAGCAGTAGCAGCAGTAGTAGTAGTAGTGGTAGTGATAGTAGTAGCGGCAGTAGCAGTAGCACTAGCAGTAGTAGTAGTAGTAATCGTAGTAGCAGCAGCAGCAGTAGTAGCAGCAGCAGCAGTAGTAGCAGCAGTAGCAGTAGCAGTAGCAGTAGCAGTGGACAGACCTGGTGAGGATTCCAGTCGCTGTCAAAGATGACCACAGTGTCCGCCGCCTGCAGGTTCAGGCCCAGGCCGCCGGCTCGAGTGCTCAGTAAGAAGATGAAATACTGAGATCCCTCCTCATTAAACTTCTTGAGCAGCATGCCTCTGTCCTCCGACTTTGTGGTTCCTGTGACACCAGAGACAGCGTGACAAAAGCAGCAGGGGCCAGACCGTCTCTCATTATCGGTCCACTCACCGTCCAGGCGCAAATACTGGAAGTTTCTGTAGCCAAAGTAGTCCTCTAATATGGTCATCAGCGACGTCATCTGGCAAAACAGCAGAACTCGGTGCCCGGTCGCGTGTAGCTTCGGCAAGATCCTGTCGAGGAGCTCAAACTTCCCAGACGCTCGATAAAGATCAGGCCTGCATGAATATATAAGATGAGTAATTGAAAATGTGAATGGTAATTTGTAGTGTACGGTATTGTGCAATATTTAGGTTAAAAAATAAGTTATTAGAATCTTTAAAGAGGAAATATTAATGATTATTATAGGTATTATATTTGTTACAGATGTTTCTTATTGCAATTATATTTGTGAAAAAGTTTTAGAAGTTGAAATAACATCCACAAGAAGAAAAGACATGGCAAAACCACGTATCAAGAGTAAATAATGCGATCGCCTGTAACTCCCTAAGATACCACAAGAGGGAGGCGTTGAAAGGGTTTTTACAACTGCAAACTGGTTTTCCACGCGATTGTAAGGAAGGTCATTTTACTCAAGAAATTGACAAAACTAATTTATGGGCAATGTATACTATAAATGTTAAACAAAAAAATACATTCTGAGGCTAATATCTCACTCTAAATGTGTTGATCTTGTTTTTAAAAAATCACACACGGTGAAAAGTCCAAAAAGGCTCATTTGTATACAACGTTGGTGAAGAATTGAATTTCATATTTGCAAATCCAGAATGCAACCTATTTCTGTGTAAATTATTTTAAAATAAATGCTTGTGCCATGTACTGCATTCTGGACTGGACCCATTGACTTGTTCACAAATTCAATAATCAATGAACTCATGAATCATGAATAATAAACTTGTCTCTTTAAAGTCACTAGCAAACATCAACAAGCTTTTAGGAATGGGAGTAGAGCTAGTATCAGGGAGTATCAGGGATAGTATCAGGGAGTATCAGGGATATTCTTAATTACAACCAAAACTAATTTTCTTGTGATAAAAATCTAATTATCTTGAGAAAAGATTATGTACAATAAACAGGAACATTCGATGGTCTGTATAGATTGTTGTTTTTATGTGATTTGTGTGATGATGTGTGTATTTGAAGAGAAACTAATTAACTAAAATAATACTAGTAGAATATTAGCACAAAACAAGAATTGTATGACAAGAATATGTAATTTCTCATTTTTTAACTGTGGGGTTGCTACGAGCGCTCACAAAGCCTGCCACAGATAAAATGAACAAGGCAGAGTGGCTTATTAAAATGAACCTTTTGAATCACTGAAATAACCAAAATAATCACCAATACCGAAAAATGTGCAACCAAGAACGAATGGTCCTTTTTGAACACATTAGTTTGTCAGGCCCTTGCTGCTTTGTTCTTACCCGCTAATGATTCCATTGGGATAGCCCATGTGCTCAGCAAAAGATTCCTAAAAGAGATAAAAAAGAATACTTTGTTCATTTCAAAATCATACTTAATAAGGCTCCTCAAAGGATATAAATATAATCGGATAATTAGGATTATCAGAGGAGGAAATATAAGCCTCTTTTGCAAGTTAACAATGAGTACGTTTACAAAGCACTAGAGAACTAGCTAACTTCATTTTAATTAGATTGAAAAAGAAGTGAGCTGCAATAGCGGTATGAAAACCTACATTTAGTGTAACTGGAACTGGATCAAACTATTTCTACTCCGTTTGCGCTGGCACGTAACCACGAAAATCAGATACTACTGCATCTTAAAGTGATAGTCTGGACTTTGTCAGAAAAAAAGAGAGGTACATTATTTGAAAAAAAAAAAAATGATGCACCAGGTCTATGGGCCAAGACGTGCGGAGGAGAGAGAGAACCAGAGTCAACAATGGAGTTATCGGAGGTAGGAGGTAGGAGGGACACGTGAAATGGGAATCTTCTGCTCTTGAGCTGAGTGAAAACAAACAGCTGAGCATGCGCGCAGGTACGATGATTGACAGCCCTTCACATCACGTGATTGGTTTCGGTGGACGGCATCGTGGATTTTGAGCCATAGCTAAGATAAAACAAGGCGGGACTTACCTGTAATATCATAATTCATAAAATGACTTATTTTATATCAACATTTAAGGCCAGGAGGTGGATTTAATACAATTCTTAAAACTTGTAATTTATTTAGTCATATTATGCGGAAGTTCAGACTGGTAGACTCCCCACGCATGTCATCGCACCAGGCTGGCCCCTTCATTCCTCAGCCTCACATAAGCTTTGTTAACTCCCCGGCCAGCCGTGCCACTCAAGCCAGAGCTTAAAAGCTGGACACCACGCACCAAACAGCCTTTCAGGCCACAACCACCTCCTCCTCCCCTCTGCCTCGGGATTTCATTGCACGCTCACATCCACCTTGCCCTGTTGCCACCATCAGTGATTTGCACCAAACTTATTAACTACAAACAAACTTACAATAATATTCTAATACATATTGTCTCTTGTAGTCTCTCCAGATTGAACTGAGACAACTCCATCAGAGCAGCCGTGCACTTTTATAAGAAATTTATGTATTTGTAGGTATGGTTGAGTTAGAGTCGGGGATCCCCGATTCTGAGATTTTTATCCTGCTATAATCTAACCAGTGTCAGGGGATTGCCCACTTTTCTAATAATCAACTATGCCAAAACAGCCATGTTAAGGATTCTTCATTGTGACTGTATTTTGACTTCAACCGTGACCGGTTGAAGTCCTGTATAAGAGAAAGCCGTGACTGCGTCCTGATGTCAGATCAAAGAAGTGCTGCAAATCTGCGATGTCCTCACAGGCTTGGAGGGGCGCACCCTAACGCTAATAAAATATCTAGGCGAGAACGGTCAGAACGGTTTGAGAGCAACGCCAAACAGTCAATATTTAGCACGCTTCTGCTTTGTAAAAGTACTCAGTGAAACTCCACCAGCACCAGCTCACCTCGATGTGCTGGAACATGTATGGATGATTGCAGATCTTCTTCAGTTGCATGATTGTATTCATAAGCGTCTTAGCTCCGCCTTTCCCCTGTAATATTTAAAACATATTTTGAAACAAACTTCAGGTTAGAATTCAACAAAACAAAACATAAACAAAATCTACAGACTATACCTTTTTGTCTTTCTCAGATCCATCCGTGAGCAGGATGCCCTTTTGCATGTGGCGATACAAAACCTTCTGGATCGCAGACATATCACATTTAACGACATATTCCACCTACAAAAGCAGAGTGAAAAAAAATAAAATATTGATCACAGTTGGACTTTTTTAAGAGCTTTAATCCTACTGCCATCATTGTCCACCTAATTGAAGTTTTACACTAATTCATGTGTGGTTGAGAGATCGCATTTAGCACCTTCTTTACTTCCTCTATTAGATGGACTTTTCATACACTTTAAAGACTGTTAGTGAGATTTACAAAGATAAAGATGAAGTCATGATGAACAGGTGTAATAATCATCAGCAGACCAAACCACAAGTTTATCACTACAAGAAATGCAAATATGTCAAGCACTTACGATTCCAATACTAAGACAACACTCCTGTACTAACCAGCAGTAACAGCACTCTTCCTACGTGGCTCTTTTGTGTATTAAGAAAGGAAAATGCCTGAATGTTGCCAGATGTGAGCTTTGTTTACAGCCGAGTGCCTCACTCAAGAGGCTCATTCACTTTTCATTAACATCTAGTGCTTAGGTGCAATAGTTTTACTTAACTCTGGTGTCGACAGAGGGAATTTAATTTTCCTCAGCGTTCAAATGAGTACAGGTACAAGCTGTAATTGCACTTAAAGCAACTTTGTGTAAACAAACCTTCTCTGGGAGTTGAGACTCGACTTCCTTCTTCAGTCTGCGCAGCAGGAACGGCCGCAACACTTTGTGCAGACGACGGATGATCAGGATCGTCTCCTCTTCATTCAGATCCACCTAAAGCAGGAGGCAGCACAGGTACATGGAAGAAGGGCTGTCGTTAACAATTAGTTGGAAAATCATTCTTTCCGATAATAAATTTGTTCTTTGGATTCTGAACAGTGAAAATGGGATTTTGTCTCCATTTGACCAAAATGTTGCCTCTTGAAAACCTCTTCATAGAAATATTCACAAAATATTGTATTATGGTTTATTATTGAAATTTGGTAAACAATTTCTCCAGTTATAAAAGCATTCCGTCGTTGCACTTTTGAAGATTTACAATAAATGTCAGATTGACTGGCAGTATAATATATTGTGTATCTATAAAACACACATTTTGATTTCAATCTATAGTTATTATACAATTACCCGAAACAAAACTCAGCATGTTTAAGTCTACATAAGGTTAAACAAGATGAATATATTACTATATTAGTTAGTTAATTAGATTGATATTACTATTTCAAAAGTCAATCAGTTGCGATGAATTGTGACATACCTAAACGTGTGCTTTAGGAAGTGTACGAGTGTCGCAGGTGTGAGAGATACAGACCCGCTCCCCTGTCATGGCGAACGGAGCGTTGAACCACTGCTCGAAGGTGCTGCAGCTCTTGAAGATGGTCGGCAGGAGAAAGTTGAGCAGAGCCCAGAGTTCCGGCAGCTTGTTCTGGAGGGGGGTTCCCGTCAGGAGGACGCGGCGAGGAGCCACGTAGTGAGTGTTTAGCACCTGCGTCAGTTTACAGTGATGGTTTTTCATGCGGTGACCTTCGTCCACAATCATGTACTTCCAGCGGATCTGTTCACAACGGAAGAAGATAAACAAAAAATGATCTTGTACGATATCTCAGTGTTTTTGAGCATACAGCAGGTTCATAAAGTGATTTCTGGACATTGATCATCTGCCCCCAATGGCCCAATGTTTTTTTTATCATTGCATTCATGCGTTTGAACTGTTTGCTTCTCTGATTTGTGTTGGCGAATTCAATGTTTTTTTTTGTAAAGTCCTCTCCACTTTTGAACAAAACTCTCTGGTCTTATTTGACGAGCACGTATCACCAGAATGATTGACAATTGGGAGGACCAATTGTCTTGATGATCGACCCAGAAGTAGAAAATCCTCCTATATCCCTTTAATACTAGCCTTAATAACTGTAAATCAGAAATATTCACAACAGTCAATGTGTGTGTGTTTAGGCGTACATGTTTTGCTTTTTCTCTATGAAATATATTATTATTTATTTTCTGCTTTACTTTCTTCCTTACTGCATCGGACATCTGTGAATATCAGAACTTTCAACTACATGTTTAGTATTCACAGACTTCCTCCCTCTGTACTCGTGAATGAAAGATGTCACTTCTGCCTCTGAGAAAAATGGGATTGAGTGTACAATGTTCCATGTTCTCACCTTGGCTAGGATATGCTTGTCCTTGATTATATATTCATAAGTGGTGAGCAGAACATTGAATTTCCCACTGCGGAGCTGCGGCACCAGACCTCGGCGTAAACCAGGTGTACCCTTTCATTCAAACAAACAAAAAAGTCACACTAAAGCAGTCGTCAGGTTAATTAACAACAACAGACAGTTTTACCTTGTAGGCAATTTTAACGATTGATGGAGCCCACTTGTCAAGCTCATAAACCCAATTTGACATGGTGCTGGAAAGAGGACAAAATATTGAAAGAATAAATAATAAAGTTCATACAGAGCAATCGGCGAGTTCTCTAAAGTCAACAGCTATTGGACAGGACAAATCAATCCACTTGAAGGAAATGAGCACAAAAGAAACGGCTGTCAAAAGGTTTTTGGAGAGAACATGAAAGAAATAATCCCTGAGGTGCTTAAGCCTTTATCAGGGTCAAAGTTGTTGGTTCACCCATTTTCAGAATAATTTCAGACTTTATAAAAACAACATTCAAGTGAAGAAAATATGTGTTGTTTTGCTGCTTTGCTGTCCTTGTCGGCACTTAAACTAGAACTATGAGAAACTTAATAACAGAGCACGACGAGCTCCCACTTCCCCTCTCCATACTCTTCCTGCCGACTCGATGGATGCAATTAGAGTGAGGCAGTAGAGCAGAGGATAAAGTATGGCTTATTTCAAGTATTTATCAAACATAGAAGTGCAGAAAATTAAGGGTCTGTTCCAAGCTGGTCCAAACTAAGGCCCGCGAGCCAAATGCAGCCTTAAGAGCAATCTGCAGGTTTAGATTTCATGTTCTTTATTCGTTCCACAGAGGGAAATGGGACAGTAGTAAGAGCACACGACGAGCACACTAAATATACAGAGAGTAAGTAACTGTGAATTGGGCTTCACGATATTGGAAATTAGTGCGATATTCAATACGAGTGTGTATTGCGATAACGATATTATTACGATATTTTTGTCTTTCACCTAAAATTGCAATCTGCATTGAGACATAAGAGACAAATAACAAAAAATAAGCACAACATTAATGACATTAAAATGCATATATTTATATACGTTCTTGTTGAATGTTGATTTAGCTGTCTGTTTTGTTGGCTTTAATAAAGTTTTTTTTTTTTAACAGTAAAAAAATATATATATATTACATGTATATTTTATTTATTTTTTTAATCACGGATATTTTCAATATGGATATCGCACACACCATCATCGCGATAACAATATTTTTTCGATATATCGTGCAGCCCTATTTATTTGATTATTAAAACCCACAATGGTGAGTGTGACACAAACAGTTACTGAGCTAAAGGAGTTTACTTTTTAATGTTTGTCAATAGAAGTCAGAAAGAGCAAAACTTCATCCATGAACATTTTCCTGTTCATTGTGTAGGGATGGGGAATTATATCTAGCTGTCTCACAGTATGTGCTGCATTGACATTGTAACAAACTAGGAATTTGATTTGGCATAAGGTGAAAAAAGTCAAAAGACTAAAATTCAAATATATATTAATAAACACAATTTAAATACAGCCAAAAAGCTAAAATGATCCAACATTTCCTTATTAAGGATATATTTGACAAACACAAATTGATAAATAACTCAAATGCAAATGTTGGAACAAATAGTAGGAATATGTTTTCTGGGCAACGTTTAGAAAGTGGACCATAATTGCTGTGGCAGTCTAGTTATTTCTGCAGATCTCTGTGTTATCTGCTCCTCTTTGATAAATGACCACATTTCAGACCATTGTGGATGAAAACATCATTTAGGGAGCCGTACGAGCCGGCGATAACGATTGGTGATGGATTCTGGGTGCTGGGTACTCACGAGAGGGGGACAATGATCAGATACGGCCCGTTGAGCCTCTTGTACTCCATAAGGTAAGTAATGAGACCAATGGTTTGGATGGTTTTGCCAAGGCCCATCTCATCAGCCAAGATACCGTTCAGATTGTTGTTGTACAGGGACACCAGCCACTCCAAGCCCTGGATCTGAAAGCACCAAAATGAGACCGCATGAGTAATGGATATTTCTGCCAGTTTTCTTCTTCATAAGAAAAGCATGTTTACTACAGTCTATTTTGTAACGACACCCAATCCAATCCACTTTATTTTTATAGCAGATTTAAACAACAAAGCGCTTCCAAAGGGCTGCACAAAACAGCATAAAAACAATAAAACCAAAGCAGTACCCATTTTCATTGGAAATATTCTCTCTAACAGCCCTTTTGATGCCCTTCACACGAAAAAGTCAATGCAGGTAAATCGAGTTTTGCTTTTTTATATCCTTACATACACACAAACACACATGCACAATCATTAGTAAACTCAATGAGGAGCTTATATCGTAAATTGAAACGTGTAGTCGTGAGTTGTTAAATGTCCTGTATGTGTACGTGTTTACATTTTATGTCAAATGGAGCTGCTAAACTGTGCAAAACAAATTTCTGACCCTTATGTCTGACAATAAAGTACGTATCTATATATCTATCCATCTATTATCAATCGTAAAAACAGAAAAAAATACTTTGGTTCAAAGCTATTCTAAGCTTTAGTTCAATACTAATACCACACTTGTAGAAAAACATCTCTCTAGTCGCCCCGCCAGCGATTTTAATTGTCATGGTGACATTTTATTGCCTGTCAGAAACCCGGCTTATTCATGTATTGGGAAAAGTAATTGCGAGAACAGCACAGAAAAGAGCATACCAACTACCAGCAGAAAATCAGGAATGCCAACCAATTAACAACGCAGCGGCCCAAAATAACAAGCACATTTTAGAGGAATAACACTTCAAAAAAACAGTCAGAAAAGATTACACTGATTACAAATGTTGCACAACAATTGATCTGTTCAATTCCCCCAAAGGACTAAACTTTATACCTACTTTAAAACACATCAATCAGACTCCACACTGCAGTTTTCTATCTGTTCTGAGCCATCATTATTTTTGAGAAGAACTTCAGGCCAAAACATGTCTTCATGTTGTCTGACCTTTACAATTGTTAAATGACTGTGGGAGCTCATTAGTATCTCATGATAGAATATAGCAAGAGTTAATGATGATAGATTCACTCAGGATTCTCAGATATTTTACTGTTGAATGTACATTTTGTCAAATGGTAAATGGCCAAAGAGAAAATGCATGGAAACAAAAATGTAAACTTTTTTTTAAACATAGTGGTCTAACTGTCAAGGGGTAAAATGAGCAAGGAAACCCAAATGTTGCTAAATGAAACCAAATCCTGGTTAACAAACGTGGGATAGACATTATAAAATGGACAGGCAACAAGTGAGAAAGACAAGGGTATAATAAATACACAGGGAGACACAGGCAAATCACATTAGGGCGAGCCAAACCATCAATGGGAAAGGAAGGACAACTCAAGAGAGACAGACGAGTTCAAAACGTTGAAACTGAAAGTCTCAAAGTTTTGTGTGTGAATGAAAGTCCACACCATCAAGAACAACTCGATTTATCTGTCTGTGCATAATTGTTTTGTTGTGTTGAGTGAATTACTGTGTGTCTCAGAGAACTGAATGCAATGCGTCCTCATTAATGAGATTAGTGTCAATTGCTCAGATTACAAATCCTCTGCACTCTTCGTCCCATTCAAGTTGTTCAAACAGAACACACACACACACACACACACACACAAACACCTACAGGGCAAAAACAAATTAATAGTTTGCTGTGAAGAGGAACCGTGTAATTTACAGTTTTAAAGAAAGAAACCCAAGAGATATTGTTCGAATATAGAGCTTGAGTAAGTAATTAGGAGTCCGTATTTATTAAGTGCATTTACAGTCACAGAGCTCTCACTCCTCACAGCGATGGAAGTGTGGTGGCCATACAGGACGTGCATGCAGGACCAATGTACATGTTTTCAGTGGTAGAAAACCTATGCAGACTCCACACTGAGAGCTGAATTGAATCCACCTTCTTCCTTCTATCTGTAAAGCACTGTGCTCTCCTATATTACGATTATATGAAATTGCTTTGAGTGGTACTTCAGTCATTTAAAAGAGTAGATGCATTCATCAGGGCATAAAGTGAAACAATCATCTTCAGCCTTAACTTCTTACTTCACAGCCCCCGTTCCCACATGTATTTTACCCGAACATTTCATTTCAAGAGCAATCTACACAAACAGTTGGCATGGACAGAACAAGATCTCACTCCAAATGTGAAAAATCGACAGTACACATAATGCATTGTGCAAAATGAGGGCTTTAGAAACTAGAGAACGTGTTAGTTATTCATGTGACTAGTGTTCTAACTATAATTTGCTAAGAACAATAGGTTTAGGGGAGAAATTCCCACAACTTCTGTAAAGTGCTTTGTAGCCGTTAGTCCGTGAAAAGTGTTCTATGCTGTATAAATAAAGATTACTCAACTTGGACTCTGAGGAGCACAGGGACTGGTGCCCACACTCCGGACTAAACAAGGGGAGGAAGCGATTCTTATCTATGCAGCTGAAATATGGATCTGTCTTTCTGAGGTGAGATGTGCCTCTACCCTGACCATGTTCCATACTAGGTTGAAAACATATCGGTTTAGCTGAGCATACAACTGATTGTAGTTTTCTTTTATTCTATCAGTCTGTATGAATTTTAAGCCAAATATTTTTTTGCTGAACTGTTTTAATATGAATTTTGTGTTTGATATATCTATCTCTCTATTGATGCATTGCCTTTTTGGTCTGGTTTTATGCATTTTGCTCTGTGTTTTTAAATTGCTCTTGTGAAGCACTTTGAAGTACCTTACACACAAATTGTCCAATACAAATAACTGTTGATTGATACTTTTTCTTGCATATTGAGTTCAGTAATATTGTCATTAGCCACTGTTTCAGCCCTGATACTTACACTGTATAAAGCCTAGGCCTGATTAAAACAGTTGCGGTGAATAATACCTGGTAGTGTTTGAGTGTTCCATTGATGAGAAGCGTAGACTGTTTGTCCACTTTCTCCACCACAGCATGAGCCACACCGTAGTACGACGCCAAGCAGGTCGTTTCCGCGTCAACGCTGTACTCGTCGTCCACGTCCTGCTTTGCCGTCCTGGACACAACGAAATACAAGAGATCTACTTTTAGGTTACTGTGTATTAGTTTGTGTATCAGTGTATTTAGTAAAGACTGAAGTGATGCGTTACTCGATTATGTTCTTGGCATTTTTCACAGACACGCCGTCTCCATGGAGCTTCTTCTTCTCCTCTCCGTCTCCCTTGGACGCCTCGTCATCCTCCTGAAGGACCAAATACGACTTTACTACTATGACCAGAAACCAACACACAATCTGAAGCCATTCTACGTACATCTACAGCCCTCTAGTGGAGAATGTGCAATATTTGTAAGAGAGAGTAGATCAGGGATGTCAAACTGGTTCCAGAAAGGGCCGGTGTGGCTGTAGGTTTTAGTTCCAGACTGAGCAGGAGCACAGCCGACTCCACCCATTTCCTCAGGTCTTCAGGTTAAGACTGGACTCACCTGAGGGACTGAGTGAAGTGTGCCGTGCTCCTGCCCGGGTTGGAGCTAAAACCTACAGCCACACTGACCCTTTGAGGACCGGTGTGACACCCCTGGAGTAGACGCTGTTTCAAAATCAATCAATAGCCTCTCACTGGTTCCAAGAGTCAGAACTAGGCATGGGGAGGCAGCGTTTCAGATTTATGCAGCTAAAATCTGGAACAATCTTCCTGAAAATTTGAGGCTGGAATCTACTCTACTAAACAGTTTTCAAACCCAGGTAAAACAGGTCTGATTAGCTGTGAAGGATTTTTATCTCTACAACTGAAGGATTTTATATTTGCTCATTTTAATGCACTGTGGCTAAATATTATTTTAATCCTGTGTGTTTTAATGTTAAGGTTTTTAATTTCTTGTGATTTTGTTCTGTTTTTAAAATTTCTTGTGATGTTAATCTTTGTGTTTAATCGATGTTATGTATATGTAGATTGGAATGTTTATGATTTGCTTGATGTGATGTGGGTTGTGCGGCGCTTTGTGTTACCTTGTGTAGGAAAGGTGCTGTACAAATAATTGATTGAATATATTTCTAGATGGAAAGATTTCATTAAGACAGATTCTCAAGAGGACTTTCCACTGACCTCCTCTTCGAATTCAGAGCCACTCTCTTCACTGTCTGAACGTGGGGCGACTTCGTAACTGACAACATTTGAAGAGAGAAACAAAACCAAAGTCAAGGCACAAATTACATTTAATGGAAAACAAGCGCTGGTGCAAAAACATACCCAGGATTCATTTCTAGCCAGGCCTCCAGTTGGCTGGACTTGGGAGCGTCTGTTCCCTGCAGAACCTTCCCCGTCTCTGTTTGAATAACTTTGACAGGAAGCTCACTCATCTGACTGCTCTCATCCATGGGCTGCAGGAACAGAATAACAATAAGTGGGCACATTGCGTCATATTTATCTTGATCAAATAACATATCACTAAATCCTCATTTAAAACATTCACGTTACCTCTCCGTCTGGTCCGAGAGCGCTGGTGCCTTCACCTTCATCCGCCTTCTACAAAAGACATCATCATAATCACCACAAAAACCTCATGCAGAAGCAGACAAGGACGAGACACAGTTTTCATAAAGAGATCAGCTGTGACTTTATGATTGACAGTTGAATTGTCAGCACCGGCTCATCCTGAAGGGACAGACTGGCCTAAATGTGAACTTAACGAAGAAATATAAAATGAATACAAGTTTGGCATACAAAATTGAGCAGAATGGATAAATGGCAAACGCTAGAAAGAATCTAAGTCAGTTTTGTCATTTAAGAGAACTTCTAATGTGTGCAAAAAATTTTGGTGAATTTGATCCATGAATGCGGCCCATTGATAGTCACACATCAAATAAGTTTTAATTGGTGACTTTAAATGTTCATACCTTCTTTTTTTTCTTTTTCTTCTTCTTCTCCTTGGCAGCTTGAGCGGCTTTATGCTCATAAACCAGCGTGGTGAGGTTGGCAACATACTCGTCTGTCTGTTGCAGCAAGTAGGCCAGACGTTTGTCTTTCTTTTGGTCAATTAGTTTTCTGTAGCCCTCTTCATCTTCAGCCTGAGAAGCCACAAATGAACAGACATTAATATTTAGAAAAAACGCCTTGAGGCTGCAAGTCTGGGGTGTCAAACTAGTCCTCAAAGGGCCGCAGGTTTTAAGTCCAACCAAGCAGGAGCAGTCTAGATTGTATTCATAGCATTTCATAGGTCTGTATTTGCTCCATCAGGCTCTGTTAACATGCCTAGCCATCTCTTTTACCACGAACGGAGCCCGTTGGGGAGTAGAACCACAACATCTTTGCCAGCAATGAAATTTGCAAAACATTCTTCTTGCTCCGGCTTCAATTTCTTGCTACTTGGGAGACTAACCAGAAAGGATTACTTTACTATCGCATTTGTCGCCATTGCCAAACTACAACCAGCAAATTGGGTGCAAACTCTTGACGTCACCGACACCTCCCTACAACACCCAGCACCCCCACTTGCTGAATGGTCGGATGGGATTCAACCGAGGTAACAGCAGCCACAAGGATCAGACCCAGACGCACATGTAGGGAAATGATAATTGCCCGGAGTTTACATATGGCTAAGGCCCGGCTAGACTCCATCCATTTCCTCAAGTGAATCCAGAACAGTGTGGTGTCTGCTCCGTTCCTGCTTGGTTGGAATGAAAACCTGCAGCCACACCGGGCCTTTCTGGACCCAGTTTGACATCCCTGCTGTAAGTTCTCTCTCACCATGAGCCTCCTCATCCTCTCCTTCTCGATGCGCTCCGTCTCCTTCTTCTGCTCGCGCTCGGTGTTGGTGTGCCATGTGGCTATAGCTCGAGTCGCTTTCTGGATCTTACCAGTGATTGACCTGTGGTATTCTTTAAAGTCCTTAGCGTGCTGAAGGATGCTGTTCAGATATTCCTAAAACAGAAAAAAAAATGCATTACGGTTTAAAATACTAAAATGATATAAGATAAACCTTTATTCGTCCCTCATTTCCATGTCATTGTTGTGCACATCACAGAAAAACAAAAGGAGGAAATAGGAGCACTCAGATTGCACACATCAAACAGGATCTATTATTTAAGATAACATATAATACAATAACAAATTAATTAAATAAGACAATAATACACTCTGCAGCTATAATTGCACTTGGTTCAAGGATAAGTCACGAGTGGACTATACACTGAAGTCAGCAGCGTCATGAGGTATTTACACATTTTTATATTGTACTTAAGCAGCAGAGAATATGACCAGAATAAACAATAGTAAAGATAGCAGCAGGTAAAGTGACTAGAGAATTATCAGATGAATGGAATATGTAATAATAACGGAGTAATAACATGGCAGGTAAAGTGGCTAAGTGCACTTCCAATGTGGTTTTACTGCAAATGGCAAAGAAATTCTCGAATCTTGATTATCAAAACAAGCGTATGTACAGACTCAGCAGCAGGAAAGTGGGACCGGCAGAACCTCTCCTTCACACATCTAATTAATAACAATCTTAAAGCGCATGTGTACCTGATGCTTTTGTCTGCGTTTCTTCTCCTGCTCCAGTTTCTGCTGTTTCTCCAGCTTCTCGGTCATGCGTGCCTCCCTCAGCGTCTGCCTCTTGCTGCGTCTGTAGGCCTTCGAGTTCAGGGCGGTCTCCAAGGTCGTGTCTCGCCTCATGCAGGCCACCACATCCTGCCTCAGCTAAAAAAAAAAACAATTAACCATTAAAAGCTTTATATCAAAACTCACTGTTGTTTTGTTTGGATTATTTAGAAAGAGGGTGAACCTGTCGCTGAAAGTTGAGCAGGCGTAATGCTTTGAGTTCCACGGTTGCTTTACTTCTCAAGTCGGGCGGCAGAGAACCGGGCAAACTTTCCAATTCCTGGATACGATGTGCGATCCTTGCCTGAAGTCTTGAAGGAGAAGTGACATGTTATTATAATTCAATTCAATTCAATGTATTCTTGTATAGCCCTAAATCACAACGGTATCTGAGGACTTTACACAATCGTTCAATTCGCCAACACCGATCAGAGAATCAAACGGTCCAAACACAAGAAATAAAACAGAAAACATTGGTATTGGTTCACAAGAGGCAGATGAAGTGTTGTTGAATGCTGAGAATAGCTCTTGTTATTACAGTGTAACTCAAAGAAAGCAATTGGAACAGAGGAGTGCTGATTGAGTGTGCTAAGACTTTGAAGCAATGTGCCAATAGTAATCGTGGACAAGCAGAAAAGTATTAAACTTTGGAATAATAAACGTGTAACAGAATGTGAAGCAAACAATTTATGGATTATGTTGTTGTGTTTTTTGCATATAGTTTAAAATGAAAAATTTTGCAAACACAGCAAGTAAAAAAAGAAAACCAGCTATAACACACAAAAAGTGCAAACACGAGAGAATATACCTGTACTCTCTCTCCTGTAAGATGCCCACTGGGTCCAAGCCTTGGGGTTTCTGGATCGGGGTGACGCGGTTCTGTTTCTGTTGCATCTGCAGCATAGGGGACACTGGCTGTGCAGAGGGCTGAGGGGTCAGGGAGCCGCCCGGCATGAGTCCAGGAGCCCCGGGGATCTGAGGGGGCACAGGAGACGGCCGCCCACCAACGGATGGAGTCAAGTGCTTTGGAGGGCCGCTCTGACTCTCACCACTCTGGCCTGAACAGCAATACAGCAATGCATTACAAAACCAAAGAGGAAAACTTGTAAAACAACGGTGTTTGTCTAAATTGTAAGCTTTTAAATTCATAATAAAATGTAAGTTACAGTTGCATTGGTGGTGAATGATTACAAATTAGTTCCTGATGTAGTTGTTCATAGTTTTATTCTTTTATATACTTTTATTTCCTGACTATTTACCCACCCTGAGTGATCTTATTGAGGCCAAATGTAACATGTAAAGTTCTCCTTTATCCAATCACTTAAGTTTTATCTTATCTTAAAGGAGCAATATGTAATATTTGCATGTCAAGTCATCATTAAATGACCCGAATATTTCAAAAGGCGTTATTAAATCATACTCTTTTCGAATTCATCTTTAACTGATAACAGTAGTTCAGCCGAGATATTTGATTATCAAAATTAGTTTTACGACCCGTAAAAGTTGTTATTGTTTTGATTTTGATGTCCTACCCTCCGCCGTTTCGCCAATCAGGAAGTGTCATGTAAGTCAGTGATCGAGTTGCCAGAACTCCGTGCGGCTCATCAATCTCAGTGGTAAAATAACATGTGGCGCAGAACTAAAAAAGGTCTTGTTATGACTCTCAAATAATTAATGACAAAACAAAGACTAAAACGAGGATTTATATCGGGATTCCTTTGAACAATTGAGACAGCTGATAAAAGTTCACGTGTGATGCAGAATTTTCTAGTTTGAGTCCGTTCTTCACAGTGTTTCTATTCGTGTGAATCAGTGGTCTAGTGGTCTAAACTGCGCGCTTACGATGCAGGAACCCGGGTTCGATCCCGGGCTATGTCTTTTTGTATATATTGCATGTTATCACATTCTATGACAGATTTCTCTAAAAACGGTAAAAGATGAAGGTCAAGACGTTTTTTTGCAGATTATAGCTTAATTGTAAAAATAATCATTTAAGACCACATGTACCCCAATTAAAATAATGTTAGTCTCTTTTTGATGTGGAACTTTTCCATGTTTGTCTAAAAAATAGGGAATAAATAAAATTGAAAGGTGATATCCTCTTGAGCAAACCCTGATGTTGATACGCTGAAGAAATACGTTCCAACATCCATTCTTCCCACTCCTATTTTGGACATCAATTGCTTATTTATTTTGCATAAACTATGTATAATTACATTGCTTTTATTTGGTTTTTGTTTTTTATCTCAAATGTCCAAATAATAATAATAAAAAAACATTAATCAAAACATTAATTCAGCATTAGCACGGCTGTCATGGCAATGTGAATGGAGACGGACAAACAACTGATAAAATAATTCCCTGTGTTTGCTGCTGGATTTGGTGTGAATCTGGCAACCTGAGTCAGGGAGAGTGGGAGAGGACTACAAAATATTGACTGTAACTGCAGTACCACTTTTGGCCAGATTTTTACATATTGTTCCTTTAAGTATTACACCAATAACTCTGCGAGATCAAGAAAGGATGCACATGCCCAAGTGAACCTCCACTTTCATTAGACCAATTCTGGTTCTATTGGGACAAAAACGTTCACTTTGTGGAAATGCGAAGACACCAAACAACTAGTCCAGTGCTCACATCAGTTAAATTATTTTAAAAGAATTCTGTAGCGCTTGAGGATTGTTGTATTTGCTTCTGAAGTGAACCGAGTTCACTTGACCAATGGGTGCAACGCACTCCAAGACACTTACCCTCCGGCCAAGTCTTTGGAACTGCACTTTGGCTGTGCCCTTGCATTGCTGGTGTAGCAGAAGGACTGGACTGTGGACCACACATAGGTGGAACAGCCATTCCTAACAACAAAACCATTTGTCAGGATAAATAACTCCTTCACAGAAAAGTGGCTTCATAAATACCTGATCTATTATAAGGACTAGACCCAGGCCCCTGCTGTGGCTGCTGCTGTTGTGGCGGTTGTTGCATTGTGGGAAGACACCTCTTGCCTTGAACCGCCAGTTGAAGGTTTTCAGGCAAAGGCTGCCCTCGGCCCAAGATCTTATAAGCTAGAATCTGAGCTCGGAGCTGTTGAAGCTGAACTGGACTGAAAGCAGAAGGTCCCCGGCCACTCATGTTTGGCCCCATAGCTCCCTGGGGTTCAATTGACATTAGAGGAGCAGGCTGTGACGGGGGAATATGAGGAGGTGTGGGTCCTCCACTACTTCCTGACATAGGAGTGTGCTCATGCGTTCCCATTGGTGACGGGTGAGGGGACATGTATCCTAAATTTTGGAAGAAAAACAACAATTACCAGAGTATATACACAACAGTAAAACTACAGTTATGTTTGCGTTTGGTTTTAATGAATCTTAGATCAATGTCCTTCTGCTATCTGACTTGATACCTTGGCTATGTGGATCCATTGGACTCTGTGGAGGCCCCATGCCACTGTGCAAGGATCTCATTCCCACATTTTTCATGTGACCGAAGTGCATTGGATCAGCCATGGGCTTGTCATTCATTCCCTCCATTGGCTGTGGTGACAAAATAACACTTATAAACACGTTTATCATCTCTTTTGTTCAGGAAGCAAACTCAAACTAAATAAGCAAATTAATACTAATACTAAGTTGTTCACCTTATGCATTCCGTACATGCCATCTTGAGAGTACTCTCCTTGGCTCTGAATACCATGTGGTGCATTAGGTGTCCCTGGGCCGGGGCTGGGTCCCATCATGCTGTGAACAGAACCTGGGGAGGGGTCTGGCCCTGGGGACAGCCCGGCCCCTGGGGAGGGACCCGCATGGGACATTCCACCTGTTGTGTCTGGATGAGTGGACATCTACCAGACAGCCGAAAAATGGTGGCCAGCTACAATCACAAAAACACAAACAAACATGATAATAATCACATAATTGCAGATTTCATTTTGGTGTATTTACATGTTTATTGATGGTTACATCAATTTACAATGAATCAAAGTTGCAAGCAGGTAAAGTGCAACGGATTTTTAAGAATATTACTGCTGGGAACATAATAATAATAAACACAACAACAATATGATGTGTAATAACGCATAATATATGTATAATATGGTTGGTGTCGTGAACATTTCGTGATTTGAGATGAAAGTTGTTAGGATTCCTATTAAAAGTAGCCAGAGTTTCATACACGCCGGGTTATTGTTATTGTTATGACGGTGTCACAGATATAGCGGATATCTAATGTTATAAAGTTAATCTGATTGGGTCGTGGCTTCTGCCAAAATACCAAACTGGTGGCCATTACATTTTACGAACTAAATCCAAGTTTCACCTCAATCATAGAGAAAAACGTGTTAGCTGTGATTCATAGAGCATGTTGTCAAACGGTAAGTGACATGTGGCTGACGCTGATCACAGCAGGGTTTAGCTCAGCTGTTCAGTAACTTGACATTAGCATTAGCGTTAGCATGGGCTAACAGAGCGGCTAGTGCACTGTTAGCATAACAAGGTTCTGCAGCATGCTAATGGATGGCGTTGGCCGAAAACAACTCTTGCCTGAGCCTGAATAAGGAGCTTTGCTTCCTCGACAGTAGTAGCTACATCTAACGACAACATAATTGACAATTATCTGCTTACGAATGTCGATTTACCTCTGAGCGGGCGAGAACCCAGCTAGCTGTCAATATAAAAATGTTTCCCCAAAATATGACTGCTGCCACAAGTTCACACCCCCTTCATGTTGTTCGCTGACATGTTACATTATTTTTAACTTTACGCTTTTGATTTGTCAATGTACCCGGAAGTCCCGCCCTCCTGCTATGACGATAGGCTGGATCAGATGTCAATCACCTTTGCACTTTTCTTCTTTCTCGGGTGTGTGTCCTTTTCTAAACTTCTTATCCTTATTTTTAGAGTACTATATTTTACACTAGGACCACTTTAACAATACCGGCCCACTGGACCTGATTGAAAAAACTCACCTCTCAAATTCAATGTATTACTTATCTGCAACGGTAACAATGTCATGAAATCCCCACGTTCCGTTGATTTCAGAGAACACTGGTCTGCATTTTGCACGCCTTCTGCAATATTAGGTTGATGGCATTCATTAGCCAAATTGGAAACTTTTCAGAGGCATAGAAAGTAGGAGTCATCACTCTCCGGAGGACTATTCCCTTCGATGGGCTGTAGTACACACAGATCAACACATGGTGGCAGCATTAGGCCATAGTTAGGCTCTTTACGGAGACCTGTCGCGCCTCGACAAAATACCTTCAGGCCGAGAAAGATCCATGTTTATTTCCATGGCCTACATTAGCGTGGCTTTTTTTTCTGGCAGATTAGTGTGTGAGTAACACAATATCTTCTCGAAAGAGCAGCAGATGCAAATCACAGTCTAATTTGTTGAGTCTGATTTGCATCCTTATGACATTGGAAACTTAGTAGGTTTTCTTCATGGAAAATATACCTGTTTTTCCTATGCAAGTGTTAGTTTATGCAGTGCAACCAGTTTGTTTTATTATTTCATAGAATCCTCTTACAATATCTAAACTTATCACAAATATACCAAGAGTCTAAGGCAGCATGTATAGCTTCACTATATATTTAAATGCTCATGGCCCATAGCTTAGATCTTGTCTTCAGTTTGTGCCTTCTTTGTATCTCCAAAGGGACGCACTGTACACAGGGTTCCTGGATGTAAATTTCATCCAAATATGCACAATTAGCTTCTAGTGGTTGAGACCACGACTGCAGCCTTATTCATTGAGCCAGGAAAGAGCACGGCCGCAGTCATTTGGCTGTGAAAAGACCAGTGGTTGTGGCTTCCACTGACCTTGAAGCCTAATGAGCTCCATGGTTCATGACATCTTGACTTAACTGGAAAAGGAACTAATGCAAATGTTGTAAGTAAGTAAGTAAGTAAGTAAGTTTTTATTTATATACCGCCTTTTCACTGCAGATCTGAGTCTCAAAGCGGTTTACAATTGTTAATTTTTTGGGCATTTGTCTCTCACTCCACACAGAGATGGGAGCCGGGTCGCCAGTACAGGAGGCGCATGCCAGAACTATTGGACATGTTTTTAGTGGTAGGGGAAACCGGAGTACCCGGAGGAAACCTACGCAGACACGGGGAGAACATGCAAACTCCACTCAGAAAGGCCCTGGTCCGACCGGGATTCGAACCCAGGACCTTCTTGCTGAGAGGCGAGAGTGCTATCCACTCAGCCACCGTGCTGTTGTAATCGTTCATCTTTCTGAAACTAGAGGCTTTAGTCCATGTCATGTCATGAATTGCCAAAGCAAAACAGTTGGCTAAGTCTATAGTTTTTGTGTTCATTGTGAAAACCAAAGCATTGTTTTCTCATGTCTCTGCACTGGCTTCCTGTGGCTCAGAGAATAGACTTTAAAGCAGCTCTGCTTAAGTACATGGCCTCGCACCAAAGTACATCCATTACATGTTACTGCCACGGGTGTCCTGCACAGGGACTGGAAAATGACGTGCGCTGACATGCTTGCAGTACCACCCTGGGCCGATGGGGGTGGACCCAGAATAAGAATTAGCCAATGCTAACATATAGCATTAGCTGACCTCTCGAAAACGTCTTTACAGGATGGACCAAAAGTTGGCTCTTGGCCCAAAGCTCTGTTCCACATGTGTGTCAATGCTGAGGGGAGTGGATTTTTTTTGGACCACTCTAGTTTAGTTGTTGCGAATTTTTGAAGTCACTTGTTAAATGAATGGAGCTCTTGCCGGCTGACGCATGCGCAGATGCGTTTTTTCCATAGACTGTATATATTAACGAACAGAGTCACGCCTATCTCCGCCGTTCTAACTAATGGGCCAAAAATAATGCTCTACCGGAGCTATCCAAAATGGCCGCGAGTGGTACCGCCCGCAAGAAAATTGTGAAAAAACGCATCTGCGCATGCGTCACCCGGCGAGAGCTGCATTCATTTGAACGAGAGACTTCAAAAATTCACAGCAAGTAAACTAGAGTGGACCAAAAAATTTCACCCCCCTCAGCATTGACACACATGTGGAACGGAGCTTTGGGCCAAGAGCCAACTTTTGGTCCATCCTGTAAAGAAGTTTTTGAGAGGTCTGCCAATGCTATATGTTAGCATTGGCTAATTCTTCTTCTGGGTCCACCCCCATCGGCCCGGGGGGGGTATTGCAAGTATGTCAGCGCACGTCATTTTGGCCACTTTTGAGCCGGGACCCGCCCCCACCAGTTTTTTCACAATTTTCATGAACTGCTGCCCCTGCGACCCGGCAACGGATGATACGGAAGAAAATGGATGGATGGATAGTTTAAACGGCGGAGATAGACGTGACCACGTCCGTTAATATTTACAGTCTAAGGTAAAATCCAACGCAATAGTGATGAGGGGTCAGAATAGAACACACATGAAAATAAAACAAATCGTAAGTTGAACATGTCCCAAACTATATGAAATAATAAGCAATAAAAGCAAATGGCCGATGGCGTTGTTTTTGCAGCTGTGGTTTGTGCACATGGATGCAGGTGTGGAGTTTTATATTTAGTTTTACATGAGCCACTTTAGCAGGTGACATGTTGGTTTTTCACCATGTTATCTGATACTTCTATTTGAATATTTCTCATACTGTGGTCCGGTTATGTGATTTTATTATCCAGAGGTGGACGAATGGATGAATAGCAAACATGGGTATCCGTTTAAAAATAGGTCCATATACTGACAGCGAGCAACAACTAAAACCACTGTCTTTTGAACGGGGAAAAAGTGCTCCGAATCTGGAACCAATGTTTTTCCTGATGCTTGAAAATCTGTTTGATATTACACAACTTGCAACACACTTTCTTACTTTTGACAGATTGCCTGAATTCCATTGCTGTGATTTTAAACAGCTCCACTTTGTTGCAAAAAGTAATAAAACAATATCAATGCAATATGCTATTTTCAAGAACACAATATTGCACATTTCACATTTTCAAGAAGACTTTTCCAGATTTTAGTTACTTACTTGAACACATATTGCACATAATAACGCACGATTTATGCTGATGTTTAATGTATTAAAGCTGTGCAGGGCAGGGCCTGGTTAGTACTGTGATGGGAGACCTTTGGGAACACTATATAAAACCAATGCGTTATTATTATTTATATTCATTGAAATAATAGAAATTGTGTATGAAAAGGTGGCGCAGTTGTTGGCTCTCCACAGCAAGAAGGCTATAGGTTTTGTTCCCCCTCCAGTCAGGGCTTCGTGAGCAGATTTCATGTTCTCCCCGTTTCTGTGTAGGTTTTCTCCAGGTGCGCCGGTTACACCTGCAACTTAAAAACATGTTTGAGTGTGTGGTTGTGAGTGCGACCGTGGGAAAACAAATGTAAATTCTTTCAGGGCTTCAATCTGGTGTGTCTAAAGAACCTGCTCATTAATACACACAAGTGCATTAATAAAAAATAATCAAATCTATTGACAAATTGAGGTGGATCAAATGTCTCTTTTGATTTGTGTCATTCCCTTCGCCATCTTATCAACAAAGTCTTGTCTTATCTTATCTTTTTAAGCCCACACAAAATACTTTCTATCGCTCTCTTCTATTGCACCGTCTGATTTGACTTCATCATTCCCTTCCTACACATATATATTAGCGATGAAAGGGCCTGCGGTCAGATTTACAGTCAGATTGAGCCGTCCCCAGGGGCTGCAGCGGTGTCCGGTCAGGAGCAGTCCAGAGCAGAGATGTTTTTCCAATATGGTGCCGGTCGGGGTCATGCGGGAGGCTCAGAAGAAAGGAGATGTTGTCAGGGATCATCTCTTTGTAGTTGTCCTTTGCTGCAGGTGCTCTGCCATTCATTGTTATATGTCTACTGTTTAATATTACACAACTGCTTACAGCTGGAGACCCGACCAGGCCAGACCAGACCAGACCGGAGCTACAGTGATCCGCATGGTCTCTGAATACCACCTCTGACCTGGGAAAACCGCCCTGTCAAGTCAATCAAATGGGAAGTCAATATTTAGATGTGAATATGCATTTGTTTGTTGGAAACACAAAACAATATGAAATAGAGAACAACATAACGAATGTAAATTTAATGTAAAGTTCAAATGTTGCCATTTTTGGTCACCTGGCAACCAACATTCTATGGCAGTTAAAGCAACTTTTTCATGTTTCTGGACTAGGTCTGGACTGGGTCTGGACTGGGTCTGGACTGGGCCTGATTCAGAGTTTTCCAACTGAGACAAACAAGTGTTAGTTATAATCAAAACACAACCTTTCACCAAATTATTTGTTGTGGGTTTTTTTAAGTTATAGTCACCAGTTTTAACACTCGGAAACTAAGCAGGGCCGGGCCGGCCTAGTACTGTGATGGGAGACCACTTTGAACACCAGGTGCGACAATGGGGCGGCTGCAACTGCCAAACTGGTGTTGTGTTCTTAGGCAAGACACTTCACCCACCATTGCCTAGAATGAGTGGTCGGAGGGGCTGATGGCACATACTGGTTTTCTCGCTTCTGTCACTGTTTCCCAGGGCAGCTGTGGCTACAATAGTAGTTTATCACCAGTGAATGGAGTGAATGTACAGTATAATGACATGTGAAGCGTCTCTGCTATATAAAATTGGTGCATTGTTATTATCATTATTAAGCTCAAATAAACAAATATTCCAAATCAGAATTGACTTGTGAATTGGAGGATAATAGACTAGAAACACATGACCTCTTCCCATGGCCTCCTGTCCCCTTCACACTTGCAGCAGAGAGCGGCCTGGGTGCAGAGTGTGAGGCAGCCCGCCATGTGTTTTGAGCTTGTCACAGTGTATCTCCGCTGCTCCAGGGATGAGGTCAGCGCCCGCATATCTGCCCACCATCAGAGCCATCGCAGCTCGCATGTGGTAGACGTTACACAGGGCCATCACACACCCGGCCTCAGAGACATGTGGCTGCTGTGTACGCGCTCTTTAAGTGTTGGACGAGGACAATGTGTCAGAGACTATTTGCACAAGTATATGTCTGTTAGGGGCGGGACTCTTTGAACTGCGGCTGGAAAAAGTGATGGTAAAGCGTGGTATGTGTGTAATGGCCTTGCTATGACTAATTGCTTGTTTCCACACACAGAAAAACAGCGACTACAACTTAAGTCTTCTCCGGGGCAGTGGGGGGTGGACTGAAATCTGTAGGAATCGTTCTGATGGCTCACTATCTCATGGAAACAACAAAAAAATGCAATTAGATATGCCTTGAATTTGTACTGGACTCAAATAGATGCATTCAACTGGTTATCCAGACACACACGAAGAGGATTTAACGCTAGGACTCCTGGAGCAGTCAATTTGACGGCTTTTTTGTTTTTGGAAGTGTAATTACTGAGTGCATGAACCTTTTTTGTTCTTCCTAACTTTGTAACTTTTTCTGTTTCTATATGTAGTTTATGTATGGTCCTGGACCAGACCTGTACTGGTTCTGGACTGGTTCTAAACTGATCCTGGACTGGTTGTGGACTGGTTCTGGACTGATTCTACTTGATATTCCACCAGAGTAGAGCCAGTGCTAGTTACCATAGCGACACATTGCAGTTTTTCTCAGTGGCTTTGGTGCATTTCAGTTTGATGGCTTTTCAGTTTTTGGAAGTAATTTTATTGTTCTTCCCAAATTTGTAACTTTTTCTGTTTCTAAAAATAGTAAAGTATGGTCCTGGACCGATCCTGGACTGGTTCTGGACTGGTTCTGGTTCTGAGCTGAGTCCGCTCAGAGAAAAGCCAATGCTACCATGTTACCATAGCAACACACAATTTACTCGCAGCAGTTAGCATTTGGCCTTTAGCATTAGCCTTTCAACAAACTGTTTTTATAACCAGTTTTAGCACTTAGGAAAAGTGAGTAAGAGTATAACCCTTACAAACTACTTTATTTTATCCAATTCTCTGGTGAAGAACAAACTGTATTGGTTTGAATGGGAGCAGTCAAACTTCCAGGCTCTGGAAGTTCCTGTAATTCCATAATTCTGGGAGTCATAGGGCTAAAGTAAAAATATTATTCTAGTTATTACTCAATTACAGACTCTTACAGCTTAAATCTCATGTTTGAATGCATTTTGATGTGTGCTCCAGACTAGATATTAGATCCCTGAGAAAAATGTTAACTGAATGGTCTTGCTTGGATGACATCACTGACACCACCACTCTCAATCATTACACTCAAATGGATTGTGCTGTTTTCAAAGGCAGAAACCGGAGCATCTGGAGAAATCGGAGCATCTGGAGAATCCCTGCGGAGACACTTTTTCTTTATTTACATTAATAAAAGAAATGTGAAACTGCAATGCCATTTTGTATTCTATCACTGCTGTCACACCTTAAAGGAGATGTATTACGCACACTTACTTGTTTGAACTTTTAGTCTTGTTAAAACATTGTTGCCTCATCAAAAACAGACCTGGAGTGGTTTCAGATCCATCCACGCTGATATCAGGAGCTTCGGCACAAACCTGTAGCTCCGCCCCTTCTGTCTAAAAGCTCTTTGTACCACAATTACATCACACTCAGAGAAAAGTAATTACTCACAATTATATGGCTGTGCTTGCAGGTAATGAGCATGGATCTGTTATAGGGTAATAACAAATTCCTCTCCTCCCTCTAGTGGTAGCACAGGGAATAGCATAGGTACCAGTTGTTCCACCATACATTTCCCACTAACAAAATCATTTCACATTCCAAAACACATACTATTTCTTTTTTTATAAAGCCTCATGAAGCCACTGTCTAATTAGAATAGATAGATTGAAAGAAAGATAATGAGAAAGAGAGAGAGTGAGATACAGAGGGAGAATGAGGGAGAGAGGAGATACAGAAGATGGACTGATAGAGAGAGAATGAGAGAGAGATAGAATGAGAGAGAGATGAGAGAGAAAGACATAGATTAATAGATAAGAATGAGAGAGAGAGCAAGAGAGAGAGAATGAGAGAGAGATAGATAGATAGATAGATAGATAGATAGAGAATGAGAGAGAGATACAGCAAGAGAGAGAGAATGAGAGAGAGAGAGAGAGAAAGAGATAGACAGATAAATAGATAGATAGATAGATAGAGAATGAGAGAGAGAGAGAGAGCAAGAGAGAGAGAATTAGAGAGAGAGAAAGAGATAGATAGATAGAAAGATACAGTAGATAGATAGATAGATAGATAGATAGATAGATAGATAGAGCTGTGGATTGCTCTCATTGATTCATTCCTCCTCCATGTTCCGTCATTATTAGTTCAGAAATGACAATAATGCGGGCGACTGCTTTAGTCTGTGTGTGTCCGAGCCTTTAACAGCGTTTGACCCGTAAGTGGTTTTAAAGTAGGGGTCAGAGGTCGGGCTGTAACATGCTGTGGGTTTGTAGCGGCACCATGTGTTGAGGAAAACATTTTGGTGACATCTTCTTTGTTGCCGGGTGTTTCCTTTTGCTTTCCGCTGTAAAGACGCCGTAAAATGCTTCAAAGAGACCTAATTAGAGACACAAATTTGCAGATTCAGAAGCAGGTTTTCAGTTTGAAGGAGGCGGGTGATATGCGATTGGGTTTCAAGGGCTTTTTATATCCCTCTACATTTTCAGTGTTTCAGAAAAAGTTTTTTTTACAATTCAAATCTCGTAATTTGTATGCACTTACTAAATCTAACTCCTGGTCAAATATAGATAGACAGATAACTTTATTACAAACTCATGGTCCAGAAATATGTTGGTTTAAAATATGTTTTCTTCAAAGGACAAAAATGTGGATAAAATTGAGCAAACTTGACAGCTGCAGGGAGGGCTAACCACCACCAGGGGGAGCATACACACGTACAAGTCTGAGAATCACGTTTTATTCTTAAAACAATAAAAGGCCTAGTTACTTTGTGCAGGTGGAAACATTCACATTCAAATCAATGTATTTTATGTAGCCCTAAATCTCAACTGCAGTCGTCTCTCGGAGGACAAAGCTGTCAATTCGCCAACAACAGATCAGAGAATCAAACGCATGCATGATTTCACACTTATAAGAGGGGCTGTAACTTGTCAATATTACTTGGACTAGTTTGTTGACAGGCTACCAGATGTGCACTGCTGTCAAGTAATCAGTATGTTGCTATGGTAACTAGCATTTGATTTTTTCTGGTAGAAAACCAAGCTGAAACAGAACCACCAGTCCAGAACCAGCAGCTATTGGGGAAAAGGGGTTGGTTGCCAAGCTCCTCAAATTTCAAAACTATTGTGAATACATAAAACCGGGGCCTAGAACTTGTGATGGGGAGGAGGTGGGTTGCTGCTCGAACAGTAGCTTGAGCTGCAGAGAACTGAGAGGCTCTGAGTAATTGTAGCCATGAAGTGATGATGAGCACAGGTGCTGAGCCGCTGAGGCTGATTACTGTTGCTACAGTAGTACAGTAGTACAGTAGTAGAGTAGAGGGAGGAGTGTGTGTTTGTCTGTGTTTGTCTTTCAGCACGAGTGAAGCATAAACAATCCCTTCATGCTGACATATGAGCCACACAATAACTGTCGCTGGGAAATTGGTGACTCTCATTTTTTATTTTTTACACAGAAGTTGTGATTTCCACCAATGGGGTCCTTTTGGACGGACTTTACCGTGACTCCATGATTTATATGTATTGTTCACAACATCACAATTAAATGTTTCTTTTGTGTGCTGTCTTTGTGACATTGTGAAACATAAGCATTAGAACCCACACCGTATGAAGTATCCATCCATCCATTTTCTTCCGCTTCATCCGTTGCCGGGTCGCGGGGGCAGCAGTCTAAGCAGAGACGCCCAGACTTCCTTATCCACACACACTTCCTCCAGCTCGTCTGGGGGGACCCCAAGGTGTTCCCAGGCCAGCTGAGAGACATAGTCCCTCCAGCGTGTTCTGGGTCTTCCCCAGGGCCTCCTCCCGGTGGGACGTGCCCGAAACACTTCCCCAGGGAGGCGTCCAGGAGGCATCCGGAACAGATGGCCGAGCCACCTCAACTGGTTCCTTTCAACGTGGAGAAGCAGCGGCTCTACTCCGAGCTCCTCGCGTGTGACTGAGCTCCTCACCCTATCTCTAAGGGAGCCAGCCACTCTGCGGAGGAACCTTGTTTGCTTGTATCCGTATGAAGTACAAATAAGATAAATAAGAAAAACATAGTAGTATCAGTTTTTCTATTAACCTGAGAATAAATTGTTACATTAATGAGTAGTTTACAATTTCAGCTCAGCTCAGTCATTTTGTGAGTCTTAAAACAAGATTTGTCATTGAGACTTGTCATGACTTATATTGACAAAAATTGACCAAAAACAAGGTCAAAACGCATTGAACAACCCCTTATTGTCTTATATTTCATACTTTTTGCAGTGCAGCATTAAACAATTTCATCATTTACAACTTTATTTAGAACCCATCTACTTGGAATTGAAAAAAAAGAAAAATCCTATATTTTCTGGATAGAACAGATGGATTACAGACATACTTCATTGTACAGAAGTAGCTTAGAACAGTAACAGTAAGTTGTGCACATCTGTTCGAAACTCATAGGAGTTGGACAGAGGGAACTGTCCGCTCTCTGTAACCAGCAGATGGTGAGAAAGGCTCGCATCATAATGTCCACCGATAATGTTCTGAATAATGTGTTCACTCTGCTTCCATCAGGACGACGTTATGTTGCACCACATTGTGAAACCAATCGTCATTTAAAATCTTTTGTCCCATGTTTGTATGGGACTCCACTTCATGTCAAATCACATTTCCTCTGTTTTTTAATGTTATGTGCTGCTCAAATGAATTGCCCCTGGTGGGATAAATAAAGTAGTCTGAGTCTGAGTAACTACTACAGCCGCCTCCGTCACACATGTACTGGCTTGGTTCCAGGTCACTATTTTTACATGAGAGTATGTACGCTGTTTGTCATCCCAT